AGTATCATGTCTCACTGGTCACTTATTTTGTAAATGTTCATTAATTTGGGCTTGTCTGATGTTTCTCATGATTACATTGAGGGTATACATTTTTGGTAATAGCACAGATGTGTTGTGCACTCATCAGAGTGTCATATCTGGAGGTGCATAATGGCAATCTGTCTTACTACTGGTGAGGTTAGTTGGTTAAGGTGGGAGGAGGGCTCCTGAGTTTCTCCACAGTAAAGTTACTATTTTATGGGGAGATACTTTGAGATTTTGTAAATATCTTGTTTCACATCATACTTTTAAGAATCTTAGTATCTATTGAGGATACCTGCTACAGTTATTACTGTGATGTTTGACTAATGGTAGTTTTTAATTTCCATGATTTCTTCTTCACTTAGTAGTAGTAATTCTACTGTCCATTCTCTTGCATTTATTTATTACTAGAGGACTTTGTGCACCAGTGGGGTCTCTTGGCCTGGCTTGTGGGATTGGGCCAAAACCGCTTCTCTGACATCCCCTGAGGGGTCCCGGATTTCGAGAGAGCGCAGGCCAGCCTGAGGGACCCCACCAATGGTGCACAGTCGAGGCCAGGGAGGGACGCAGGAGGTTGGCCAGCTGGGGAGGGACCGTGGGAGGGCTCCAGGGCGTATAAGGCCCATCTCATTCAGTCCCGATCCCGATCGGCCAGACCCCAGCAGCAAGCTAACCTACCAGTAGGAGCATCTGCTCCCTGGTGGTCAGTGCACGTCATAGCAGCTGGTTGACCTGTTGACTGTCTGCCCCCTGGTGGTCAGTGCACGTCATAGCAATTGTTGAGTGGCCTTAGCATATCATTAGCATATTACGTTTTGATTGGTTGAACGGATGACCAGGGGACTGGACACTTAGCATATTAGGCTTTTATTATATAGGATGTAGTTATTTGTTTATATCAATATGGACTAATGGAATTTGTTTTAGTCTATAGGTTGTAAGCCATTAATATCATGATTTATTTTGTTGCTCACACTGTCCCAGATTTGACCATTGGGAGCTCCTTCAAATTAATTCCTGTGCCTTTTAACATGATTTATTTATTTATTTATTTATTTAATGAGAGCTGATTAATGATAGGGGGCTTTTGCTCTTACCAGTAATGAAGATTTTAAAAAATATTTTATTGATTTTTAGAGAGAGAGGAAGGGGGGAGAGAGAGAGAGAGAGAGAATCGATGTGAGAGCAAAACATCATCCAGCTGCCTCCTGCACACCCCTCACCAGAAATCAAGCTCACAACTCAGGCATGTACCCTGACCAGGAATTGAACCAGCAACTTTTTGGTGCTCGGGACGATGCCCACCCAACTGAGCCACACTGGCCAGGGCCTTGCCCCATCATTTTATTTTTATGTTTTATTGATTTTAGAGAGAGGAAGGGAGAAGGAGAGGGAGAGGGATGGAGAGAGAAAGAGAGAGAGAGAGAGAGAGAGAGAGAGAGAAAACAAAGTTAGGGTAGGCTTGAATGAACCCCGTGGAATCATGTATGAACTCATGTGTTCACATTATTCACATTAACCTTCCCTAACTTTATTAATTATTTAATCCACAGCTTCTCCCTCTCCCCCATATAATTTATTTGTTGAATAAGTTGGGTAGTTTGTTCTTTACAGTTTTCCCTTCTGGATTTTGCTGATTGTAATTTTGTAATGGCATTTAACTTGTTTCTCTGCTGACTCTCTAGTAAATTAGTAGTTAGATAAGATGCATTATCAAATTCAGGTTTAAAATTTTGGCAAGATATACATTATAGGTGGTCATTTGTACTTCCAATAGGTGATGCATAATATTTGGTACTTCCTGTTACTATGGATGACCATTGGCAAAATGGTAATAATTTAATCTCTTCATTCCTTATTCATTTACAGCTATATACTTCTATAAAGAAAAACTTATTTTTCATCATCTATTTAGTTACCCTGGGGTACAGTTCATATGGAAAGACAAAATAAAAAATTCACTAGAGTTCTGCAAAGGCAGTTAACTGTATTAGTTTCCATTGCTGTGGTAACAAATTACCATGACCTTGGTGGCTTAACACAGATTTGTTTGATAGCTTTGGAGTTCAGAAGTCTGAAATGGGTCTGACCAGGCTGAGTTCACGGTGTCAGCAAGGCTGCACTCCTGAAGGCTCTGGGACAGTCCATTTCCTCGCCTTTCCCAGCTTTTGGAGGCTGCCAGCATATCTAGGCCCTGGGCTCACTTCCATCTTCACAGCCAGCAGTCACTGCTGATGTCTTTTTGTGCTTCCCTTCTTTCACTTTTAAGGATCTTTGTAACTATATAGGACCCACCTGGTTGATCTATTTTAAGGTCAGCTGATTAGTAAACTTAATTCCATCTGCAACTTTCATCAGGTAATTTAGCATATTCACAGGTTTTGGGAATTAGGATGTGAACATATAATTTGGGGGGGACAGTCTGTCTATTATAGTGATCGTTTTTTGTTTTTGTTTTAATAATATTATGAGCTCAGATTTTTAAAAATTTTAATGTATTTTTATTGTTGTTATCCTCGATGTTCTAATTGTCCTATCCTTGGATAGTGGAAAAGCTTATTCAAGTTGACTCCTCTTTTTTTTTCATATCCTCACCTGAGGACATGCTTAGGGAGAGGAAGGAGGGGGAGAGAGAGAGAGAGAGAGAGAGAGAGAGCTAACATGGGTTGGTTGCCTTCTGTATGTGTCCCGACTAGGGACCAAACTCAAAACCCAGGTATGTGCCCTGACTGGGAATGGAACCAGCAACCTTTCGGTGGCATAGGATGATGCTCAACTAACTGAGCTACTCTGGCCAGGCCCCGAGTTCTTTAGACATGATCATTGACACTTTGTTAGCTTCCTTCCTTTCTGACATGAGAAGATGTTTGGGCTCACATATGTTGCTGCCCTGGGTCTGGAGTCATCCCTTCCCATAAGGGAAGCTTTAGTGTGCATCAGAACCACTTGGAGGGCTTATTAAGACACGATGGATGGACCCGACCTACCTGCAGAATTTCTGATTTAATAGGTCTGGATGGGGCCCAGTAATTTGCTTTTGCCGTTTCCAGGTGGTCCTGATAATGCTGCTCTAGGGACTACACTTTGAGAACCATTGCTTTAAAGAACCCTATTCTTTTTGGTGGGAAATGGTACTTAGAGACTACAGTCTGGATGCTAGGGATGGTAATGATTCTTGGCTTTTTCAGTAAAGGAAGGAAATAACAGAAAATATAAGTTTATATTGATGTTTCCAATTCAAATTTAGACTTACATATTTTAACTTCTTTCGTATTTGTATTTTTTTCTCTTAGGCTTAAAGTCTTGGTTTTTATAACATTAATAATTACTTATTTAATAAATATACACACAGTTTCAGAATAACAATACCAATATTATTTCTTATGACATTGTACTAAAAACAGTTTAAGATTTTTTTTTGCAGCAGTTCCTTTTGTCCTTAGAAAAATATCCCATTAGGGATGCACAAATTACTCTGCTTTAAAGTTATTGAAATCATTTCTTTCTGTTTGGTTAACCAATCAACTTGATACACAGATTCTTTGTTTTTGCTCTGCTTTCAGTTTTAGGGAATTTTAATTTTATTTAAAAAATAATTACCTAAATATTTAAATGGTTTCAATGTAACATTGATAAAATGAGTTCTACTTTTAATTTCTGTCCCTTCTATTTTTTTTCTTTTTCCTTGTAGACAGCCATTTAATTTGTTTTATGGTTAAATAAATGTTAATAAGCTGTACATACTTTTTTTTTTCTCCTGGGATCTGTCCCCTTTGCCCTTCTCCCTTGCAGCAATATATTCTAAAGATTACTTCAGGGCAGTATATTTATAGAGTAATCATTCATTGTCCTTGATAGCGTCAGAGTTCTCCCCTGTGAGCATTTACGAGAGTTTATTCCTCTATTGGTGGACACTTGGGTTGTTTCCACCTTTTGCTGTTATGAATAGGGCTTCAATATTACAAATAGTACATATTTTGAGGCAGTTACAATCACTGTATACAGTTTCCTGTTTTTTTCTCTAATGTCAAAACATGAGCATTTCCATGTAAATGTCATGATTTAAGACAGTTTTTTTCTGATTATGAAAGTAATACAGACTTATTTAAGAGATTTTAGAAACTGAGAAAAATTGAAAATTACCCTTAATTCCTCTGCTTAGGTATGCTGTTATTATTTTGATGTGTTCCCTTAGAGCCTTAACAACATTTTGTGTGAAAAGTTAGAAAACAATTAGCATCATAGTACATAGTATCCTGGTTTGCTTTTTAAAAATTTTATTTATTTATTCTATATTAAAAATATATTTAAAAATATTTTTATTGATTTCAGAGAGGGAGAGAGAGAGAGATAGAAACATCAATGATGAGAGAGAATCATTGGTCGGCTGCCTCCTGCACCCCCCTCCTGGGGATTGAGCCCACAACCCGGCCATGTGCCCTGACCCACGGGTCGATGCCCAACCAGTGAACCACACTGGCCAGGCTATCCTGGTTTGCTTTTATTCATAATTGCATTTTTTCATACCATAACTTTTTTTATAATTCCCTACTGGTAGATATTTAGTTTCTGGTTTTGCAGTACTATAAATCAGCGGTTCTCAATCTGTGGGTCGAGACCCCTTTGGGGGTCGAACGACCCTTTCACAGGGGTCACCTAAGACCATCGGAAAACACATATAATTACATATTGTTTTTGTGATTAATCACTATGCTTTAATTATGTTCAATTTGTAACAATGAAATTGGGGGTCACCACAACATGAGGAACTGTATTAAAGGGTCGCGGCATTAGGAAGGTTGAGAACCACTGCTATAAATAATGTGATAACATCTGTGCTTTTTCCAAATTTCAGGTTATTATTAAAGTTGGATTTTGTAAGACTTTAAATGAAAAGGAAGTATACATTTGTTAAATACATCTACTGGTTTGCTTATTTTTGTCAAGTAAATTTCAGTTTTTTCTTTTCCTTCTGGCAGGACCTTAGAAATGAAGTTGAGAAGTTACGCAACGAAGTGAATGAAAGAGAGAAAGCAGTGGAGAACCATTATAAGAGTCTTTTGAGTGAAAGTAATAAAAAATTACACAGTCAAGAGCAGGTGATCAGCCGTCTAACAGAAAGTACCAATCAAAAGGACAAGGACTTGTTGCCTCAGGTATCGAAACTTTTTTCTTTTGTATTTAGATTTCGACTTGGCGTAGGTTTCTTTAAACTCTTTTGCATGAACATTTATAGAAAAACACGTTTGGTAAAAATGATTATAGCCTTCCTGCTATATATCAGAGCACTTTGGAGCTTTCTTTCTATCATTTGGGCCTCAGGCACCAGGGAGGTAAGTTTGGAGAAATGGAAGCTCAGCAAAGGGAAGGTACTTATCCTGGGTCACATGACTAGTAAGTGGCAGATCCAGTACAGGCCCTGACCTGCTTTGCTCTGGCGCCCCCTGCTTCCCTGAGTAGGTCTTCCGCAGGAACTTGCTGTTCCCCATTCATGCTGTGCCCTTTCACTCTGCCGTACTTTCCTTTAACTGCTCCGTTTTGTCTTGGAAGACCCTTCTTGTTTGATCATGTTTGATTCAGCTCAGACTTAACAGGGACCATGATGGATCCAATATGGATGGGTATTTAACTCTGCTTCATGCTGAAGCCTCATTAACATGGCAGTGGAGGGGTAAAAAGGTATAAACCCACAGGCCTAGGAGGAGGGGAGTATGCAACAGCAGGTCGCTGTCTGGATGATAAATGAATGGGCAGGTGGTAACTACGTGGGCTTCCGCTTTCTCCACATTGCTGCTACATGCTTTGGGATGAAAAGCTAAGAAGAAGCAAGCTGGCTTACCCTATAGAACCCAGAAAGGCTCAGCAGGCAGTGCAAGTACCTGGTGTCTTAGTAAACAGGACAGGGGCTGGAACACTGGGCAGTTCGATGACCTGTTTTCTTCACTAATTGGAAATGGGAGCTTTACTTTCTGGGGAGCTGGTCTGGAGGTCACTGAGTGCATCTGAAAGCAGAGTGGAAGAAGCGGACGTGTGTGTACCCAGATGTGGGTTCCTCTGAAAGGGGAAAGATGGAAAGGTGCTGATAGAATAGCTGAGTCCCCATCGTAAGGCTGCCAGCGATGGGTCTTTCCACACTCAGAACTTCTGAGCACTTTTACATTGAAATGTGCTTGGAGGCTGGAGTTTATCAAACAGGAGAGAAGTATCTCAGAGGAAAGACAAAGACGAAACAGACAGAACAAAGCTATGTAGAGGAGATAGAAACAGTGGAGGATGGGAAGAAAACTAGACAGCGTGACAAACTCAACGCTAACATGTTTAGATAATAAATGAGATCAGGCTCTGGTAAAGATATTTGGAAAAGAAGGGCGACCTATTGGAAATTGGTATAGATATAAAAAGTTTAATACAAGAATTAGAAAAGTTGGAAGATAAAGAGCAAGTTTTGCAGAAAATGGGAGAGAAAAGAGGAAATTGGAGCTTTGATTAAAGAGCTCCAGTATATGACTAAGAAGTTCCAGAAAGAACAAACAGGTAAAGCAGAGGGAAGAAATTTTCAAAGTAATAGAAAATTTCCAAAATGGAAGGACAGATAGCTGTGCATTGAATGGGCCTGCTCTGTTTCTAGCACAATGGATGATAAAGACCTGCAGCTCAAGGCATGTCTTTGTGAAATTTCAGAACACAAAGCAAGGGTAAAATGAACATCCAAAAAACTTCCAGAGAGAAGAAAACATGGGTGACATACAAAGTCTTCGAAATGACAGAATTCTCAGCTGGAACACGAAGCCAGAAGATGGGAGAGCAGTATTTTCAGATTGTTGAGGAAGAGTTATTTCTTTTTACCTTTCATTTTTTTAATCCTCACCCGAGGATGTATTTTTCCCCATTGATGTTTAGAGAGAGTGAGAGAGAGTGGAAGGGAAGGAGGAGGGAGAGAGATAGAGAGAGAGAGAGAGAGGAAGAGAGAGAGAGAGAGAGAAAGAGAGAGACATTGATGTGAGAGAGACACATTGATTGGTTGCCTCCCACGTGGGGCAGTTGAACCTGCAGCTGAGGTATGTACCCTTGACCAGGAATCAAACCCACAACCCTTCAGTCCTCGGGCCAACGCTCTACCAGTGAGTCAAACCATCCAGTTCAGAGCAGGAGAGTGATTTCCAGTCCAGCATTCTGTGCTCACAGAGCTATTAGCAAGAGTGAGGGCAGAGTAAAGGCATTTCCAGATGTTTGGTGTCTGAAATCATCTGCCTCCCATGGACTCCTTGCAGGAGACATCTAGAGGATGACTTTAAATGAGGAAGTAAGCAAAAGGAAGCATGGCATCCAGAAAGTAAGGAATTTACCTGGGATGTGAAGCCCCAGGCAGATGGCTGAGATGTAGGGCAGCCCAGATTTGAGCTGTTGAGGCAGCTTAAGTTAGAAATTTCTCAAAGAAACTGAAATGGCAATATCACCTATCTGGAGTATCTGACTCCA